AAAACATTTTCTTCATTTCTGAGAAACCTTTCACACAACAGTCTCAATATGTTAAAACTACAAAGCCGCCCCGCATAGTACGACCAGTGGTATAAAATAAACTATGTGGTCTGATACTACACGAAATGGTGGATACTGCGTTAGTTTTGTTATTAAAGCTGCAAACCTTAAAAACCTAACCGACTTTTTATTCATAATCGCAACAATATTCGAATAAAATAAGCACCAGATGGGGGTTTTACTTGTCACGCTAAATCTATTTCGTCATATTTAACGAGATATTTAGTAAAAAAGCATACGTTAACAAATAACCGGATAAAATTCATCGTCAAAATTTCAGCAATCCCACTCGCATTTCATTTTTTATTCGTTTGTTTAAGGTTTCGTTTCATTTCACTGTATCACAACTGTTTAGTTAATTTTCCTGTAAATTCACGGAGTGATATATTTCCGATTTTGTTTAATCGTAAAAATAACTAGATTTTTCTGTAAATAATTTTTCTCTCTTTTACATTCTTTATAAAAACAAACAGTGTAACAGCGCTACACAGCAAGTCTTGTTGTTTACGGCACAAGCCATTAAAAGAAAACGATTGCGCAGATTCACTCACAAACATAGCTGATATTTTCTTCATAAGCGTCAGAATATTTCAAAGTAAACAGTTTATCATAGTCAAGCAATCATGATGTTTTTCTCGCATTGATCAAGTTTCAACAAACTCTTTCTTCGTTTATAATAAGACACTATTCCATTTAAACAAAACGATTGCGCAGATCTTCTCACGCAGTTTCATTATCTAATTATTCACGGTAACTCACTTCATCACGCTGAGGTCTTATCGATCAAGAGAGCGAAAATACGATTAATTGCACCCCCATAAAGTAATAACGCGATTTTTCTCTTTCCCATATACAAGCTTTTCCACCACCGTCTAAACAATAACGCGACAAGCGATTCCACCCCGTTAAAACAATAACGCGATTTTTCTCTCTCCCCAGTTTGACGAAGTCTTATCAATTAAAGGGCGAAAATTAAACAATAGCGCGATTTTTCTCTCTCCCAATTCTCATGTCAAAGTCTAATCAAGAGAGAGAAACACCCCTGACCCTCCAAGCGAATACTCCAATACCTGACCGAAAAGGTGGACATGACCTGTCACTGTGAACCGTCCGTTAGTTTGTGGAATAATGTGGATTATGTGGCTCATTTATGTGGCACATTGTGGCTCATTTAGGAAACGTAAACAACATGATATACTACTCAAACTTCACACCATTATTATACCGTTGTAAGTAATCTCATGATTAATAAACATAGTTCACAAAATACCGTTATACTTGTCTTTTCGTACATGTAGGTGCATTGTTCAGGGCATGTTGCGTTAAATTTTGCTTTTAATTGCTCGTGCGTTTGCGGATAACCTTCGGTAGTTTCCGAAATATTTTCACCTGAAAGTTAATAATCATAATTACGCATGTTTTGATTTATATTTAGAGCTTCGTAATGCAATTGAAATATTAGCTTGAAACAAATTGGGTTTAGGGCAATTGAAATTAGGAACAAAATACCTGAAATAGTGCAAGAAAAGAATATTAGTAGAATATTGGATGATGCTTGGGTTCACAATAGTAATTTCATCTTTAAAATATAGAAAAGGGGGATGATACATTTGCTATTCGGCATTCTATCCTTAACCAAGAAACAACAGACCGCGTCATTAATTTGTGGGCAATATGAACAACAACCAAAATGAAACAGTATCTCAAAACAACTCAATTGCAATAACAAAACAGCACAACCATCTCCTTTTTCTAAAGCACTTCCACTCCCTAATACATTGTTTTGTTATTTGAACTACTAATTTACAACTAATAAAACTTCCCATCTACAAATAAATCGCATATGCCCTACGAGCAGGTGTGTCAAAACAGAGCAGCAGATATGACCAATTTGTTTACACATTAATGATAAATAGAACTAAGCTATCGTTACGCCCGATCCAACACATCTACAAACAGTCAGCAAACTGGGTAATTACAGACGAAACCTTTCAATTTGTCATTGTGTCGTGCTACCGACAACAGTAAGCAAACTGGGTAAATACAGACGAAACCTTTCAATTTGTCATCATGTCGCGCTGCCGACAATACAGATCTGTAGAAGTCGTCAACGTGATGGTGACGGATAGAAAGAATTCACCCTTGCACGACGCTGAGGAAAATGAAAAAGTCTTAACTTTGCCACGTGACTTTATTAGATACCTCCCCTCAATCCTTAAATATGTTCCGTTTATTTTATGGAATTAAGTTTTTTCTATAGCTGTTATCCCTGCTGTCATACGCGCTGCTCCCCGTGGCAAATGTCCGAAATACATAAACAAGAATCCAATTTGTGAATAACATCGCTATTTGAACTAAAATGATAAAAAAAGTAAGCATTCTTGCAAAGACATTCAAATTGCTAATTCTCATAAATTAATTATGTCCTAATGGTAGTGCCATTTTGCGTCGTGTTTTCAATATATATATATATATACCGCACTGTCAGTGCGAGCTGGTGAAATAAACAATTGCCTTAGTGAACAAACAATTGCGTTAGCACACTTGTTAAACAAGCAATATAAGGTCAGAGCAGAAAGCGTTGTAAACATTCCCCACTACTGTTATCAGTTATATTTGAAACCTAAATATAAAAAGATTTTAGAAATTAGATTTTATATTAAGTTTTATTAACCATGGATTATCCCAAGAAACGTAAAGTTGACAGAGAGTGTCGAGCATTTAACAAAAATTGGATATCGAAGTATTTTTTGTAATAATCCGGCCCGCTGAGGGCTTTATTTTTTCACATCTGGCCCGCCGACTAGAGAAGTTGCCCACCCCTGATCTAGACGATTCAAAAGTCAAATATTTTAGTTTGCTTAGTTCTGGACAAGGCATTTCGTCTGGAATACTAGAGTAGGGTCACCATATTTGAAAAAGCAAAATTCCGGACAGTGCATGACTATTTTCATGACCTCGTAGTAAAAATTATGCGCACGGTACGAAATAACAATGTTCCTTATTAGCAGTGTGCACAGTAGGATTGCAGATGCCGTAAAATTCCGGATTCCGGACATTTGAGCATTTTTTAAATTTTTCCCGGAGACAAAATTTAACCCTAAATTCCGGACATGTCCGGAACTTTCCGGACGGTATGGCAACCCGTACCTAAAGTCACTATATCCGTATAAAATGTGAGCCGATGCCTTCAGTATTTTTGCTTGACGTCATGAGAGTGCTTACTCTTATGCATCAAAAACATCTACCTCCGCACCCGAGTTGTCGGGCAGATCACCATATTTTGTTATATTTGAGTATTTTCGCTATTTTCAATGCCAGTTGTCTTTCAATACCTCTGATAGTGTCAAAAGAGCGCTATGCTTAAATATATGGGCACGTTTGAAATAAATGAAAGTAATAGCCTTCTAAAGAAAAATTTTATCTTTACCAACTGAAAATTTCGGAGCAATTGATCAAGTAATCAAAGAGAAAGGGGACTTTTTAGGTTTTTCACTAGGTGTCCAACGTGTCAAAGAACAAGTATAAAATAACAACAACATAAAATTGAAACGATCGTTATGTTCACTAACGTGTCCAATCGACGGGCAAGCACGACACAACTACAAATCTGGCCAAAGAAATTTGTAGGCCTACAATAGCCTAAAAAGTAAAAACACTTCATCTTGGTGAACGAGAAATTAATACCGGTTTTCAGAAACGCCCACTGGTTCTATTGCTGCCGGAATATTGATGAGTAATCACATTCAAAGAAAATATGATTGATGTTCTCAACGGATGCACTGTTCGAATCTACTAAATTAAAGCTATATAAAATATTCAGGACGAATGCCCTACAAAATAGTATATTGTTGAAAAACTTGGGTTTGTCTCAATATAGTACAAAAATAAACATTGGTACAATATTTATTCCAATTATTAATAGAATGTTCATTTAAATAAGTCGTCTACTCTTTTGACTTTTATTGGTGAAATAAATTGTTTTTCGTTATATTTCTTTGTTACAATTGTTTTGTACAATATCAGTTATAAAAGAATCTATATCAAAATTATGAAAATTTTGCAGCCATTCATGTGTGATACAACCTTTTATAGTATTCGGTGTATTCCGATGCACTGCCATAGTGTTCACGCAAATCAAAACAAGCCAATCGTTATCATTAACTATGTTCAACGACTATCGGAACAATTCAACACCTTCATTATACTATGATTGAATAAAAAGGCTTTCTTCTATAAACTATTTCCCTATTTTGTTGTAGTGGTTGGTTAGCGAAAATTTCACTATACAAATTTTGACATGCAAAGTTAGGTTTCTCATCTTTCAAAACGCAAAGTTTTAGGATACTAACGCTACCAATTGACATCAATTAGCATCCAGATATTGTTCCAAATTTTGATAACGTTTCGAACAGAGCATTTAAACTTTTTTGACATCTTTTCCATGAACACAGTAGTATCATCTGCTAACATTGTCAATTTGAATAGTGGCTTTTGTACGTAATTCCATTGTTTCTAGTGTTTTCGCTAATCATGGCAGCAACAACTTCCGGGCAAAATAAAAACAATTAAAAAAATAATTTTTGTACCTAATTCCATTAATTCTAGTGTTTCCGCTAATCATGGCAGCAACAACTTCAGGGCAAAATAAAAACAACTAAAAAAATAATTTTGAAGACATTGGATTTTCTTGTTCTTTGACGAAATTTTTTGACATATAAAAACAAGTTATTACTAATGACACAATTTCTGGAATCCTCGTACATTACTTTTATCCTACTTTTTTACTTTACTTTTTTTGGATATTTTTCTTTGAAGCCGAAATGTTTAAAAATATAGGCATACGGCGAATGGCCCGTCATATGCTCTGCGAATATCCCTGGAATGTCCAGAATATTTTTAGGAATTTAGCGCCGCATGTGAGCAAATAGATTTAGGGGATTTACCTAACATGCTCCTTCATAAGTTCACGTTTCACGCGCGTTTTGTTTGCGCTAATTAAAGCAACGAAAATTAAGTATATTAGGCCGGGCCTAGATGGAATTCTTCGCTTTATTAAACGAGGAAATAAATTTTGAGAATTACACACTGGTAGTACCAGCAGTTTCAGTGGGAAATGTGGGCCAACTTGCATGTGATCTTCTGATTAACACCTTGGAACTAAATAAAGTGGGATATTTACGAACTTCATGTGTTCTTCCAGTGGTCGGATCTAATGCCTTCTGCAAAGACGACTCGGATAATTCACTCACATTGACTCTTGAACTATTTATTGACGACAGCAAGAAATTGGCAGTTTTACAGCAGCGAGCTCCACTTGTTGCAGGAAAGCAGAAACAATATTCTACAGATTTTGTATCATGGATAAATTCCAAAGAATTTTCTGAAGTTATTTTGCTGACAAGTTGTCATGCATACGAAAGAACAGATAATGAAATACAAAATACACCTGTGCGTTTTTTGGTTCATCCAGATGACAAGAAAAACAAGAGAGAATTGACAGATAAAAAATTCTTAGAACTTCAGAAACGATTAATGGATTCTGGTGACAAAAACTATTTCTTTCCTGGTGGAGGATTTGCAAAAAATTTCCATGACGAATGTGTGACTTCTGAATCAAATTTTTTTTCAGTAATTTTGATGATATTTTGCTCGGAAGGAGACAATATCCCAGAGGCTGTCTTATTAGCTAATGCATTAAATTCATGGAAAAATTATATGAAAATTAGTGAAGACAATGGGAAAACTGTTTGGTCTTTCCCAGCATCTTGGAAGCATCTATATGGTGCAAGACAACCTTTGTCAATATTCTGAAATTGTCAGTTTTTATGTTCTAAATGTCACTTCATTCCAGCTTATTGAAAATGCTGTAAATTGGTACTTTTAACATTCTTTCAGTCTTAGATGCATGCAATCAAATAGAAAAAATGTTATAGTAGTATGAAATAATAATGACCAAATCATAATGTCTAATAGGCTATTTGAACTTGAATGCTCAATAGCTAGATACAATAGTATACTACATTTTCTTGTTCGTAATATTGAAAAAATACCTGGAAATATGTCAAGAGTAAACAAAACTTAGAAGCCATATTTTTAATACGATCAATTCAAACCAAGTTTAATTAAGTCTCATTGTCAATTCACAATCATATCAATACTTGTGGTTATAGAAATACAATCGGATTTTGCTATGAAATATGAATTCCTTGGACTGTATCTGTTATTTTGGTTCGCTGCCAATGTTAAAACTATTGTCTGTGTCATGAAGAAGTTTGTCAAACATTTAGAATTAAGTTTTTGCAACTTTCTAATGATTGCAATTTGTATTAGAATGTCTTTTATCATGGCCTAAAAAAATAAGAAATTTGATTTGCATTTCATATTTAATCAAGTTACATATTCTTATTGTTGCTACATTTTTAGAGTATAATCATGTCAGGAGATATAATTGAAATCTCTAATGAGAAGTTTTTAGGAATATTATCTATGGTTGAAAAAGCAAAGTCTGATAATGAGAGATTTGCTGCCTTGCTTGTTGTGTCAAAATTAACGAGAGGAGGATCTATTTTGCCAGAAAACAGAAAGGAATTGTTAAAAGCTATTGGAATTCAATTTCCATTGCGTCTTGTCAAGACTGCATGCTCACAAACAACAGAAGAAAACAAATTTAGTTTTGTTTCGATCGGGATGTCAATTCTGTGGTCATTTTGTGCTGATGTTGAGTTTTTTAGAGATGAAGGCCTGGAAGCTATTGTACCACATCTTCTTAAAGTTGTTAAATTGTTTTCCAACGAAGAGAAATATGAATCTGTAATTGAAGATTGTATGGATTGTCTCATTGCCCTTACATATTTTGATAACTGCATCTCTGAGATCATTGAAAGTGATGCTTTTAATACATTGTGTCTATGTGAAAAGCAGTCTGACAAAAGCCATCACTTTATTTCTATGCTGTTATCAAAGCAACCCCATCTTTGGCAAAACAAACAGTTTCAAAAATGGTTCAAATCACTTGCAAATGTTTTCAAGATAGACCAAACAAATAAAAAATTCACTATTTGCATTCACCTGTTCCAAATTTTAACTGCATGTTCTAGCGAACATTTGCTTGGATATCATGAAGCCATAACGGACATCATGTGTGGCCTTGAAGATGTGTTGTGTAGTAAACTTAACACCGAGCAAAGGAAGTCACCGATACAACTCGTCAGTGAAATTCTTAGATTGTTTGGTATTTCTTGGTTCACAATGAATTCGAAAAAGACGAATTTTATTGTTATCGTGACAAGACTGTCATGCATTGAAATTGGACTGTTTTTAAAAGACATTTCTAATGACATAGAGTCAAACTTTTCTGAATATCTATCGGTCATCATGTCTTGCTTTTCCATATCGGAAGCATTTTGCTCAGCAGTTGCCAAGTTTGAACAAAATGATAGTGAGAAGGATGATATTCTATCTTTTGAGCAAATTCGACTCACTCAACCAGCATTGTCTGATTTAGCCAACAGTGTGTCTCTTTTTATTTCATCTTATTCAGTTGATGATGAAACAGGCATCCCAGATACAGAATTATTGAATATATTACTTCCTATTTGTATTCGCTTTCTAGGGTCATGGCTTAACATTGAGAACAATGTAACTTCAGATCAAGGCAATGAAACACTTCCAATACTGAAGCAGGTTTTGAAATATATCGTAAAGCATGAAAACTTGTTATTGCTAGAATGCACCTTGCCTGCAGTGATGCAAGCAGCAAGTTCTATGAGCACCCATGACACTATAATTAAAAATGGTATTTTGCAATCCCTCATCTGCGTTATTGATTTAATTGAGAAAAAATTACACTACCCAGAAAAAATGGATGATAATTTAGTTACTTTTCATATTGTGTTACAAAGCCTAACAAGTGTTTGTTCTACAATGACTAATGTTGAATGTCAAGACTATCACAACGACTTGAGTAAAATATTTTCCATAATGACAATATTAGTACAAAAGCCATTGTCAATTCAAACATGTGGGTACGTATACCCACTCTCGTCAATTTTATTGAACAAATCATCATGCTCCATATCTGATGACATTTTATATAAAATATTCAAGTTTCTTTTTGATGCATATGAGGTATCTCCAACTGATGGTCACCCAAAAGTCAGTCCCAAGTAAGTAATATTTCATTGCATTTATAATTATAACATATTCATTTGAATGATTGTCTCATGTTGAAACTCTGTTTACAGTTACCAAGAATCTTGGCAAGAAATTTGCCCTTTGTGGAAACTCTGTGCGGAAGAAATCACATCCTATATTGCCAGTACACCTGAAGTCAAAAAGAAATTGATTGGATGTGAACATAGAGTGTTCTTACGCAACTTATTTGATGCTGCATCTGCTGGGAAAGATGAAGAACTAACAAATATCTTTTTCAATCTTTTAGAAGTTTTGAAACTGAACACATTTGTACAATAGGTTCTTAATAAATTGTCATACTTTGGTATCTACCGACTGTTTTGGAGTTCATTTCAGTTCACACAGGCGGCTTTGCGGTCTTGCATGTATAACACTCAGAAAATCACTGATCATATTCATTTTGGGTAACAAAAGCTGATAAAACAACGAAACACAGCACCCCTCCTAAAGTTCATCCATGACTTATATGCACTAATATACCAAACAATAATACAACTATTTGACGGTTTTGAAATTGTACCTCCAGGGGCAAACTTAATACTTGTTTTATTGATACATTTAGTAAATATAATCATAACCTTTCAGAAGCGAGAGTGGTTTAATTGGCCCATTATAATAAGAGGCTCACGGATCAGATTTTTTGGTTTCATTGTTCAAATCCATGTATCTCATAACTCAGGGGCCGAGTGCGCTATGTCATTATGCAGTCTTGGGGACTACATAGTTTTAGGCGTTTGCTGAATCTCGGATTCATTGGATGAGTAATGCTCTCCAGGAACCAGATATCAAAAGCTCAACAGCTGAAAGCGACTTCTTTTAGAAATTTCAACGGCCTTCATATTAATTTGGAAAGGGACAGCAAAATAGGGTTTCACCATACTTGTGCAATGCCCCAACTTTATAATAAGCAGCTATTGCTTTTGGCCATTAAATAGACGGTTCCACTACATTTTTCAGTCAAGACACAGATAATAATGCAATATATCTTCATGAATTTATATATTTTTAAGTTGTGTATAATGGATATATTATAATTATTTGAACACAAGATATGCATTATGGTTCAAGACAGTAATGTAACGTTTTTAAAGACTAATCCCAGACACACAGATAAAGAAAAACTATCATAAAAGAAGGAACTTATTGCATTTTAGAAGTTATATACAATCTATATGAACTTTAGGCAAAGGTGGCTGTTTCTTTTGTCAATATTTGTACCTTATAATACATTTGTGTATAAGTAAATAAATTCAGCAAAAAGCAGTAGATGAGCGACATGCCTACACATGCTGGGAGTCTTGAAAGGTGGGTTTACTATCGACATCATTAGTTGCTCCTCCAGGCATTTGTGATTGGTTTACAGAACCAATATTTTGGGGAAGCACTCCAATTACCTGACGACCTTGAACCAAGTAGATTGGTTCCATTGGTTGTGGCACGGGTGGAGTAGAAAACTGCATTCCGCCAGCAGGTGTCAAAGACGCGCCAGAACTATTGGCATACATCATAGGTTGACTCTGTAGTGGTTGGTAACCTTTATTAACATATTGCTTTATTTTGGGATATGCTTCCTTTCCATTGCAGCAAACAGCATGACAGGCAAATCCAAATTTCACCCATGAGATAATGAATACTATGAAAGACAGCAGAGTGATGCAGCCATCCAAAATGCGTAAAGTCCACGGATATGAGTATTTATCTGGTCCGGTCCGGTCTGAATCAGTTTGTGACATGACACTTATCATAATGCTGCAGGTGGCAATCCAGGCGGTTACAACTGACATGATCATCAAAGGTAACTATAAAACATGTTGTTTTACGCCTTGATGAAACAATCCAATCACTCCACTGGCGATATAAGCAAGTCCAGACCAAATTCCAGCTGATTGATATGTGCTTTCATAGTCACATCGTCTCTGGTAATCATTCCAATAGCATGTTTGGAGAAGGGCAAAAGTGAGGATGGCTGCACCAACACCAAACGACAGAATGCCCAGAACAATCACGGCTATGCTCAAACCACGAACTGATTTTGATTGAAATTTGCGCAAAGTGCCATTTTGTTCCACGCTTGGTTCAGTCAAAGGTTGCATTGTCCTTTCAAATTTTCTCCAATACCTTGAAAAAATAATATTAAAACTATAATGCTTGTATTACATTTTCCTAGAAGAAAAAAGCAAGACTTAAAATCAAATAAATTACTCGGTAAAAAGAAATATATAAAAACAAATAGAAAAAATGAACAAATGCTTTTACCACACAAAATTAATAATTTTATGAGGATTGCCAAATTGGATACCGAATTAGTTAACAAGAGTTAAATACTGTGGATAGAAAAATACTTCCTCAAAAGATATCGTCAAGCTGATTATAATTGGAATCACCTAATGCCAAATTTGTCATCAATATATTCGGTCTGACAGAAGCAAATCAACAATAAAGATACAAGCTATTTCATGTCATCAATATATTCGGTCTGACAGAAGCAAATCAACAATAAAGATACAAGCTATTTCATTACCTGCATGAACATGTATCCATCATTCAATTTCCATTTTCATTGTTATAGGCAAATATAGTAGTTTAAAAACATATCAATATTATGATACATGTACATGGTCAATATTTAATTCAATCGAACAATTTATTTTCATTAGGAATCGCTTGAGAACAAGGTCAGAAAATGTACCCCCGCACAGACATATTTATTATAGGCTTCCATATTTTTACCACTGCAGGCGCACGCCCGTGCAACTTATGCCCAGACTCGATCCTGTGGCGGGTGCACGTCCTGACTTTAGTGCCCCTCGAAAATGCATGCGAGGAAAATCCATTTTCTGATTTTGCATACCGGTACCGGGAAATTTGTGATTACTCACCAGTCACCCTTATATCTGACAGTATTACTGTATTAGGTGGGAAAGCTGGAATTGGACAGCTGCAAATAAACAGCGCTAACAGGTTCTAACATCACAAACTGACTGATTACAGAAAACACCGCACTTTCGGCTTCCACGAATAATGCCAAAATCCAGTCTGAATACCAACTAGCCTAAATCAGGTACCATACCGGTATAAATCATAAATGGGCCCCTTTCTATTTCATGGAACGCGAGGCGTTTTTGTTATTATTACTTTTGATTGCTACCGTACCGGTACGGTACCCGACCTGGTACCGTAACCGGACGAGAGGCCGTGGTTTGCCATATGATTAAGCCGTCCTAACGGGTTTCCTCTCCCCCGGGATAAATATATAAATTCTACCCTATCCTACAGTGGTGGCTGGACGCTGGTGCGGCACGTTTCCGTACAGCCGTACGGTACGGTACCGGTACCGTATGGGATTAGTTAGCCAGTTATTAGAGTATTCGTTTTCAGAAGCATGGACTTGACTTGCAGACTTGTACCGTACTTCCGTAGGTGTACCGTGTACCGGTACCGTACCATTCACTTTCAGCAAAAGTCAAAATGGTTAGGCATAAGCTAGAGAAGTAAATGCTGTGTCGGTAACTGCTTGGATAACCCTAGATATTCATCTAATGAAATCAGCATGACGGAATGAGCCGAAAACGTCAACAACAGTCGGACAACACTAGAAGGCTGAAAGAAGAAACGGATGAGGTGGAGGAAAAACGGAAGTCGAGGTGTTCCGGTGAAAATTGAAAAACACTAAAAGGAACACTAAAAGGAGGAAGTGGATGAAATTTCTTCCGACGGGTGGTGAGGTGTCTGAAGTCACTAAAAAGCTGAACACTAAAAGGAAGAAGTGGATGAAATTTCTTCCGACGGGTGGTGAGGTGTCTGAAGTCACTAAAAAGCTGAACACTAAAAGGAAGAAGTGGATGAAATTTTTCCGACGAAGAAGCGGTTGAAGTCACTAAAAAGATGAATACTAAAAAGAAGAGGTGGTTGAAATTTCCTCCGACGAATAATGAGGTGGTTGAAGTTACTAAAAAGCTGAACACTAAAAGGAAGAAATGGTTGAAATTTCTTCCGACGAATAATGAGGTGGTTGAAGTCACTAAAAAGCTGAACACTAAAAGGAAAAAGTGGATGACATTTTGACGAATAATGAGGTGGTTGAAGTCACTAAAAAGCTGAACACTAAAAGGAAGAAGGGGATGAAGATTCTTCCGACGAATAATGAGGTAGTTGAAGTCACTAAAAAGCTGAACACTAAAAGGAAGAAGTGGATGAAATTTCTTCCGACGAATAATGAGATGGTTGAAGTCACTAAAAAGATGAACACTAAAAGGAAGAAGTGGATGAAATTTCTTTCGACGAATAATATTTATTTTCATTAGGAATCGCTTGAGAACAAGGTCAGAAAATGTACCCCGCACAGACATATTTATTATAGGCTTCCATATTTTTACCACTGCAGGCGCACGCCGTGCAACTTATGCCCCAGACTCGATCCTGTGGCGGGTGCACGTCCTGACTTTAGTGCCCCTCGAAAATGCATGCGAGGAAAATCCATTTTCTGATTTTGCATACCGGGAAATTTGTGATTACTCACCAGTCACCCTTATATCTGACAGTATTACTGTATTAGGTGGGAAAGCTGGAATTGGACAGCTGCAAATAAACAGCGCTAACAGGTTCTAACATCACAAACTGACTGATTACAGAAAACACGCACTTTCGGCTTCCACGAATATGCCAAAATCCAGTCTGAATACCAACTAGCCTAAATCAGGTACCAGTACCGGTATAAATCATAAATGGGCCCCTTTCTATTTCATGGAACGCGAGGCGTTTTTGTTATTATTACTTTTGATTGCTACCGTACCGGTACGGTACCCGACCTGGTACCGTAACCGGACGAGAGGCCGTGGTTTGCCATATGATTAAGCCGTCCTAACGGGTTTCCTCTCCCCCGGGATAAATATATAAATTCTACCCTATCCTACAGTGGTGGCTGGACGCTGGTGCGGCACGTTTCCGTACAGCGGTACGGTACCGGTACCGTATGGGATTAGTTAGCCAGTTATTAGAGTATTCGTTTTCAGAAGCATGGACTTGACTTGCAGACTTGTACCGTACTTCCGTAGGTGTACCGTGTACCGGTACCGTACCATTCACTTTCAGCAAAAGTCAAAATGGTTAGGCATAAGCTAGAGAAGTAAATGCTGTGTCGGTAACTGCTTGGATAACCCTAGATATTCATCTAATGAAATCAGCATGACGGAATGAGCCGAAAACGTCAACAACAGTCGGACAACACTAGAAGGCTGAAAGAAGAAACGGATGAGGTGGAGAAAAAACGGAAGTCGAGGTGTTCCCAAAGGTGAAAAATTGAAAAACACTAAAAGGCTGAACACTAAAAGGAGGAAGTGGATGAAATTTCTTCCGACGGGTGGTGAGGTGTCTGAAGTCACTAAAAAGCTGAACACTAAAAGGAAGAAGTGGATGAAATTTCTTCCGACGGGTGGTGAGGTGTCTGAAGTCACTAAAAAGCTGAACACTAAAAGGAAGAAGTGGATGAAATTTCTTCCGACGAATAATGAAGCGGTTGAAGTCACTAAAAAGATGAATACTAAAAAGAAGAGGTGGTTGAAATTTCCTCCGACGAATAATGAGGTGGTTGAAGTCACTAAAAAGCTGAACACTAAAAGGAAAAAGTGGATGACATTTCTTCCGACGAATAATGAGGTGGTTGAAGTCACTAAAAAGCTGAACACTAAAAGGAAGAAGGGGATGAAGATTCTTCCGACGAATAATGAGGTAGTTGAAGTCACTAAAAAGCTGAACACTAAAAGGAAGAAGTGGATGGAATTTCTTTCAACAGGTGGTGAGGTGGCTGAGGTCACTAAAAAGCTAAACACTAAAAGGAATAAGTACGGTAGATGATATTTTGTCCTATCGATTTTGAGGCGGTTGAAGTCACTAAAATACCGAACATTAGGAGAGATTAATAGCCAAAACATATCCCGACGGAAGTGAGATTGGATGAAGACTCTGAAAGCGGACTGATGAGTAGGCATGCCACTTTTAGATTTATGAATTGAATCGGTTCAAATCGCAATTCATTTCGAATCCGATTTACGCGATTCGAAAGAAAGAGAGCCGTTTAGCAAAGAAGAACCAATGACATTAAACAACATGATAGGCAACTCTGACATCACTCCATAAGACTACATACGAAAGATTGTATTTCATGATACGCTCCAATGCACATATTTCTCGTCGTCTTTCGCGACCGTTTTCCGCTCGCTTTTGCTACTCGGCGTCTTCTTTACGTGTGGTACCTGCCGTTTTGCGCCTGTAACGAAAGAAAATAATCTCTATATCCAAGAAGTTTTGCTCACTTGGAAAGCTGAAATGGCAGACAAGCTGTAAAGAGTAATTCTGGACATCATAGACGTTTTTTTTTGCGTAAAGATTTATGTGGGACATTTTGCAGATAATGACAAAGTTCAAAGTTAGTAATTTTAATGTTTGGCTTAAACAGTGAAATTTCATTTAAAGAGGGTGTCATACAAAACAGCAAAACTGTTTTTACTTCTCTCAACGGTGCTGTGATACAATTCCATAACACAAAGTTTGCACCTATCGAACTTGCTTTAGTAGGTGAATTTATTAGACATATTTAGTTAATCGTAGGTAACATTGCTGGTACATAATGCCTCGTAGATAGGTTTGTGTCTAAATTTAGCTCATAGCCCACTAATTAATATTATCTTATATGCAGGAGGTTGCAGGGCAGATTTAACTTGCAGTCTTACCGATCACCTGACGATGCTCATTTAGTTTGGCTCGAACAAATCTTCTCGATAGACTTGTGTGAATGGAAACTACCTATATGTTTTGCCTTCCTCCGATTTTAGAAGACAAATTTATTCTGAGGGATTCGCATATAATTCTCATTGATTGTTGGCTGTTTATAATTCCTATTAATTGTGAATTCTGATTATAACAAAGAGTTAAAAAAAAATTTTACGTAATTTACTGGAACCTTTTTTTTGTCAATACTCCAAGCTGAGGTAATAAACAACGCATTTAATAGCAACGATTTTGTATTTATGACAGCAAGATTTTTTCACTTTAATTGAAGTGATATTATTTCCCAAAGCAATGCTTGAATCGTCTAGAATAGATCAGTGGTGTCAAACTCATGGGTTTTCGAGAGCCGCATTGCATGTTGGAAATTGTAAAAAGAGCCGCAAACAGTTTTTGATAATGTATACTTGAAAGATATTTTCAAGATAGTTTTAGTTTGTGACATATATTGGAGTGCAACTAAACAGTTGGATTAAGTTTTATTATTTTCTTTAATTTCAAATGCAATTACATATTAATATTTGCATTCCACTATTATTGCAAGTTACTGTATTTATTACAAAAAATCATAAAATTCTATGTACAACCATCAAAATCATTTTTGAACAAGCTTTGGATAAGGAAAGAATAATACATACACTAAAAATGACCTAATCTAAATATATGGACCTAAAATTAACAAAAATACTACCAATGTTTACTCAATTACATTTGTACTGGCGTTTGGCATCTTTTTGTGTCACCAGCATACTAAGGCCAGGCTGAAATGATTTTATAGTACCAACTCTAACTAACGAGGTCACATGATCATGGGTTAATCTGGATCTTTGCGAATGTTTAATTAATTCCAGTAATGCAAAAAAGTTACTTTTATCATTTCATGTATAGATCAGTAAAAAAACAAATGACAGATTTTTTCGACAAGACATTTCGAGCCAC